TCACCACACTACCTGTGGTGTATGACCTTGGCTGCAATTCTGGTCTCCGAATTTCTCTTGGCTCCTGATCATTTTCCAAACCTAATTCTCCAAGATTTCTACCAACTGTGTGAGTCACCAGAGTCAGTTTTACTTCACCCCAGAATTGTTTACTTGCTACCTTTTTCCTTCTCTCCACCACCCATAGGGAATGGACCATCTGATCCCTTCTGAGTTTTCCCCACTCACATCTTGCACCAAGATTTCATTTCCAACTTCTTCCTTATCTGTCTTTCTTTTCTTTTTTTAGTCTGGTTGTATTGCATATTTTCCTATTAATTTAATTTTTTAATTTATTTCTTTTACATCTTGTGTATTCCCCGTAAAATTCCCACCACCAATTAACCTGTGAATCATCACCATAGTCTCTTGTGCTCTTTCCTCCCCTGTTTTGATCTCTTTTCCCCCCACTCCCTCACAGATTGTCTGATTTAGGTTGTCTGATAATTTTGTTGTATTTTTTTTATTATTACTATTATTTTGTCCCTCCCCCCAGATCCCTTATTTAGTTCCCCTATATTCTTCCTATAAATGAAACCATTCGATATTTTTCTTTTTCCTTTTGGCTTATTTTACTGAGCATGATGCTTCCTAGTTCCATCCATGTTGCTGCAAATGGCATGAGTTTTATCTTTTTTGATTACTGAATAGTATTCCATTGTGTATATATACTACATCTTTTTGATCCAGTCATGTATTTTTGGTATCCCTATATTCATTGCAGCATCCTATCACTAAAGTATGGAACAACCCAAGTGCTCAATGATGAACGAGTAGATAATGAAGATGTGGTATATATGTATATGTAAATATATACGTGTTCACACACATACATACACACAGAATATTACTAAGTCATAAAAAAGAAGAAATTTTCCCATTTGCAACATGGATGGACATTGACTAAGTATGTCAGAAGGAGAAATTCAAGTAGTATATAATTTTACTTATCTGTGGAATATAAATAGAAAAAAGAAAATGAACAAAATTTAAACAAACTTTTAAATTCTGACATTAAGATGGTGGTAGCCAGAGGGGAAAAGTGTAGGGAGGGAATAGGTTGGGAGGAGGAGGCGCTGAATGGTTGGTGTGGATGGTTACTGAATATTTGGTAGTGTGTGTGGTAACATATGCGGCTGCTGACGTTACAAGTGTACACCTGAATAAACTTCTACATTGCTGCACACTAATGTTATCACGATTAAAGAATAAAATAAAAAAGCTTCCGGTGGGAGTCCAACAAATACAATTATGACTCTTCAATGATATGCCACTTGAATAATCACAGCATACACGATTTTAAGTTATTTGCTAATGCTTTTTCACTATTTTTCTGTGGCTTACTTTTGAAAAGAAACAAACAATGGAGCAAGATATGAATTTATATTGCATAGCAAAATTTCTTTAGGAAAGAAAATCTGAAGACTAACAAATTATTTCTCAAGTTCTTACAGATTCTTTAAATAACAATGTTCAATATGTAAATGCTGCATGAGGTGAGAAGGGGAGGGGCCTATTACAGGAAGTCTAAGAAAATATGAATCATCTCAAAGCCACCTTTTCTTACTACCATTATGAATACTAATGCTGATTATAAAGCTAAAAGCTGCTTCTGGGATTACATGGTTTTGTGTTACACATTTCATCATAAACATCATATTATTTCTTTCTTTTTTTTTTAATATAGAGGCATGCTTTATTTATTTCTTTATTTATTTGTTTGTTTGTTTTGTTTATACATGCACTGGATACAGTCAGAAGTGCGGGAGGGTGAGAGAATTCACCAGAGCCAGAGCTGGGAGCAGAGCAGGCAGAAGGACTTAAGTACACTGCTGAGGGGAGCAGCGGGCAGCAGGAGAGGTCTGCGCGCCATGTGGAACCCTTCTCCAGTGGCCGGGGAGCAGCCAGGGATCGAACCGGCGCCGCAGAGGCCGCGGGCAAATTCGCAACCCAGCGCTCAACCGCTGCGCCACCTAGGAGGCCCACATCATATTATTTCTAAGCAGTAGACTTACATGAAAATATCATATTATTGTTATATAAGATAAATACCTGTAATATTTTCTGCAATGTATCAATAAACAAAACAAGCAGTAAAAATGAATGTTAAATTAATAAATTAGCCACTGCTTATAATGTCAGAAAACATGGAAGGTTATATGGAAACAGGGAGTACTCCTCAATTGAGAGTATCTAACTTTATTTAAATAAAAATACATTTTTTCTGGTAATGAGAGAAAATAAACACCCTCATAGCTAATAGTTAAAAATGGCTGCTTTTAGTAACTTTAATATTACATTCAAAATTTTCATGGAAATCATTTATGAAGTCCCTTATCAAGTAAATAGACAGGACAAAGTACTCATCTGTTGTATACCTATAATAATATTCCCAGGTATACAACTTGGGCCTGACCCAGAAATATGTTTGAACTCACAATATGAGTCATAGAAAATGTGAACAGACCAACATTGCATTTGGTTTTGATTAAAATTACAGGTACAAGTTTTTTCACTTAGATACTAAAAACATTATTTTGAATGCTTACACAACATCCCTTTTATAGAAAATGCTCATTAACAATAATCTCACATCACTGCAAAAGGTGCTTTAACACGTAATAGTTAGGTGTTATTTTTAAGTAATGTGGCACATTATTACATTATTTCAAGTCATTAAAAAGTGAGATTGAGGTACAAGCTGAAGCTTCACATTTGACCATTTAACACACTTCAATTATTTCTGGCACCTCTGCAGATTTAGCACCCTTTCTGCCCATTTCTGATAGCCCCATTGTACCAATTAAAAGAGATTCTTCTGCATATTACCATTATTACCTATATGCTTAGATTGACCATCTGTACCTTTACTCCAATGAAACCAAGCCATGCTAGTTTTACTTATGGGCAATCTCCTATTTCCATGGGCTTTCCAGATAATCTTCTGGGAATACTTAAAGATCCACTTAAAGATCTATTTAAAGATCATTGCAAATTTCCCATAAAATTAAGATGCTGGCCATATTTAACCAAATTTAAGATACTCTCAGGTTTGCTATACTCAGACGGCATAAAAATTAAGTTGCAAAAGGCATGCTGGATTTCTTAATGAGGAAGATTGGGCTGATAATCAGTGGTCTTATAAATAGTCTAAAATGTCTATGTCCGTGACTTCTTCACTTATGCACCTATTCATGTATTGGTAATTTATAAACCCGATATGGCACACACACACACACACACACACATTTAGTTGAATAGCATATTAATGCTTCCTCCCATGGAAACAAACTTAGCCTTCTATTGTCTGAATAGTGATAGGCTATAGGCATCATATCAATGTTATTGACAAATTATTTTCAGTCAGTTTATGTAACTTCATTGTTTAAATTGGCATCAGTACAAATTTTGGATACAAACTTGTTACTTACAATATGGGTAACTACTATTGTTTAATCTGTAACTAAAGTTTAAATGAGAAATATCATAAAATACCAGATTAGTATTTCATAATGCATTAAAAAAAAAGATAACATGTCTTTGGGCAGAGTAAGTTATAAAAGCTATAGATTTTCAAGAAGTATTAGAAAAAAAAAACAAATACAGAATTCAGAACAAGGTATGGCACTATCACATGGCATTCTAAATAATTGGCTTTTCTTAAATATTTTTATGTAAGATTAAGTGGAAAATCTGAAAAGATCCATAAAGGAGTTTTACTTTGTGAATTATCAACAGGTTTTAATTTCTAAACAGTCAAACTATATCATGTTAAAGATATTCCAGGTAATCTTTAAGTAAAGTGTATCATGTTAATGATATTCCAGGCATTCTTTAAGTAAACTGGAGTAGTCCCAGCCCAAGGCAAACTAACAAAATTTGCAGTGCGGGGAGTGGCCTCTGTCTCAGAACCCCACCCATACTCAGTTCCTGGTAGACATGAGCACAAAGGCAAAACAGGATCTCCAACAAAGTGCTCTGTAAAATAGGATGGTCTTCCAGATATTTTGAAGTTAGAGGGAAAAAAAAAAAGTTTCCACTCAAGATTCGCAACGAGTCCTTCAAAGGTCACAACAAAGTAACATCAAATTACCCATATACTTTCATGAAAATCTTCAGAAAAAGTGAGGGGAAATGTGACAGTTAATTTTGACAATTTACTCATGTAGGTGCCTGTGAATCATATCTCAAAACAAAGGAAGAAAATCCATTAGATTCCCAAGTACCTGGGGAGTCAACAAAAGTCAATAAATGTGATGCATATTCCTTGCCTTATCAAATATAAAAAAAAAGCAAGCAAGTTGAAGTTCTCATAAAAAGTATCTTGTCATGAATTCACTTTAAGAGCCTAGTTCTATTTAAATTTAGAGGAATTATAATGGAAATATTCAAACTCCAAGATTTCAAGTGGCTTTTCTTCAGAATGACTTGATTAGATAATAAGAGAATCCTAACACACATATAGCTCAAAGATAAAGTATACTTCTGGAAAAGTTTCCAGAATGTAGAGGAAAGTTTACATTTTCAGGCAATTCTTGTTTGCTCATTGAAGAAATAAAAGAAGGAACAAGGCTTATCAGTAAAAGTCTAGGAGCTAAGAGTGTAAGGTGGAGAATCCCATCAAGACTGCAGCTATCCAATTCATTTATCAAATCCTTTACATCTCCAAACGCATTTAATGAACCAATATTTAAAAGGAACTTTTAAAATTTATATCTTTGCCTTCCAGAAATGATAAACGGATTAAGTTGGACTTTGAAAATAGCTACGGATCAAACCTAATGCCGGAGAACACTATATAATGACCAAATATTCTATAAGAAAATCTTTAAGAACAAGGATTTCCAGTTGGATTCCCACCCCCACCCTCCAAGGGTTAAAACAATCAGTCTACATAGACATGCAATCCCTGTAGCAGCGATATGTGCAATTAATTATGTGTTTTAATTCTATTTACTCACCCTCCTAATAGTATCTGTGGCTGGCTGGATTCATTTGTGATGCCAAAGACATCAGGAATTAAATCACCATTGAAGCTGGAGAGAAAACATTAAGCAGTTATTTTATTAAATTCTCACTTCTAACTTAGCTTTCAAAGAAAATAACTTTTGTGAGGTGTGGTAGACATTACAATGCTCACTAGGACCTACTGCAGTTAATAAAATGTCAGTACAAGTGACATGTGTCACTTTAGGTCAAAGTGTTCAATTTTTCTTACCGGACCCTCTAAGTCCAGTTGGTCATGGCAGTGAAAAGGAACACATGTCTCCGATAGTCCATATATCACACAGATGACAGGGTCTCTAATAACCTGACTCTGAGTGATGGTACAGAGCAGAGCTTATCACTGACCCACAGTGGCTAGTATGAACAAGAAAAAACATTTGTTGTAAGGTTGTGGAATTGTCTATGACCAAGTCTATCCCTGAGGCCTAAGGAGGCTACACTTATTTCAGAACCTTGACCAATTTGTTAGATTGGCTTAGGGGAAATAACTCACAGAAGTAACCTCTTCTTATATAAAAATTTACATTGGCCTTTGAATATTGTAACAACAATGAAAATATATGCAACATGAAAGAATTTAAACTCAGAGAATCCATGGAATTATAGTTCAGACTTCTAGTGGCCTCTGGCCTATTGATGAGACTGATTCTAAGGACTATACAAACGGCAGCACTGGAAAGTAGAATGTGGTAGCATATTATATCAGTTGCCAAAATTATCTCTACTCATTACCTAAAATCCTGACAGAAATTTGGATTAAATTTATGCAAATTTAATGAGTCTATTATGTGAAAATAAATTATAACACCAAGGAAAAGCTGTAAAAAAAGAATAAATGTTTCTCTTTCATATAGAAATCTTCCTAAATCATTGGGGGGAACCATGCATCCTTTATATCTGTCAACCAAGCACTAATAGCTTTACCCCAAAATAGTTATCTTAATTCTTTAAGTTAACATGGCAAGCATTAATCTAATTACACAGTGGGAATATTCAAACAAAAACACAAACCTTCCTGTTTCCAAAATACTGAATTCATTTTTAGTTTTCCTCTATCATAACAAATAATATCATATAGTTAAGAGGACAGGCCCCTAATAGCTATCAAAGGAGAATAGATTTAGTTGCAACGCTACTTATGTGAAAAATTTTACTTTATGTTTGTAAGTATAAAATAATCAAAGGGAAGCAAGCACATACTTACTCCATAATTAGTGGTTCATCATGAAAAGTTCTATTGAGTATGGTCATGTTGTTAGGATCTATAAAGAAAGCAAATATATAACTAAGCAGGCATTTTATATTATTGGTGATAGTTACACTGAGGGAAAATTTTTTAAATTCTTTTCAAATTCATCTGTATTTCCAGCTATTACTGAGACAATATAAATCTAACTTAGACATCAAGTTAATAAATAAAATAGGTAAAATATGGCAAAATTCTTCAGTGAAGAACAGCATTACAGTAACTTTCTTTTGTAGTTTCAATCTAAAAATTTCTTAAGCACATCTTTTTAAAATTTTGCACTAGAGAGGTTGACAAGGTTTTCGTGTAAAGAACTATCTGACTCTAATATGTCCATGCTTCTATACAAGCAGTGCTTTGCAAATGTTACTCCTCTAGATCCTTGATGACTGAATGAACTTGAAGTACTGAGATTACTGTTTATATTCCCAAATGTTAGGAGAAAACATAATTGCATCCCCTCCACCTCACCTCAAAAGATAACTCCATGAGCAAACGTTAATTGGCTTTTCAGATAAGACTTGCATAAGGTAGACTGGCTCTCTAATCTTTTTATGTTTTCCTGTATTGGGGAGACTAGAAACCATACAATAGCACTTCCTGGATAATCTTGCACTTGAGCTCCGAATAAAAAGGAAGTCTTGCCTTTCAGACACACTGTGAATGTTGGAAGGGAGAGAATTGAGGTGAAGGCTATGCTTCTGCTATTTTTTAGATTCTGATCACTGAATTTGCAAGTATCAAGTGGTAAGGTGCAGGAAAGGACATCCATTTGCTGGTGAGAATCTTGGCAGGGTGGGTCACTTGGCAGTTGTTACACAACTGATCACTTTTTAAAAAAATTTTTGTATAGAAGAACTGGGGTGTAGGCCAGAGGTGTGTGTGGGGTGAGAGGTGAGAGGATTCACCAGAGACAGAGTGCGGAGCAGAGCAGGTAGATTTACTGAAATACATTGCTAAGGGGAACAGCGGGTGAGAGAGGAAAGGTCTGCTGTGCCATGTGTGGGTTAGTTCCTTGGTGGGGGATCCAACTTAGGCCATAGTGGTGATAGCCCTTGACCACTTTCTTTTTTTTTTTTTCAATTAATCTTTTTTTTAGTTTTTATATCATTGTTCATTTTTAAACAATATTTGCTTCTCCCCACCCCGTCAGGTATAGTCCCCATAGAGTTTCCTTCACCAATGCACCCGTGCACCATCACCTCAGTCCCCTGTGCTCCTCCCTCCCTCCCTCTGATCCCTCTCCCTCCTCCTCCCCCTGACCACTTTCTGATAGTAAAAAGGCAGCAGCTTCCCTGAAAGCTTTGTGGGGACTGTACCCAAAAATTCAACCTAGAGTCTGTTCTTCCACAATCTCAGTATTCTGTAAGCCATAAAAATCCTGAAATATAAATGCCTATCTTCCTAAATGGAACAAAACTGAATTTTATTCTCTGGAATTGACTCCAAATCAATTCTGCGTTGAAAAATAAAGATCAGAAAATGTGATTTTTAAAAGTTTTTTTAAAGACAATTACTGGCACTCAAGAACTGCATTTTCAAACTGATTTCAGAACAGTACTTTTGTTATATTTGCCAGGCATATTTTTTATTTACTATTCAATGACAAATATCAAAAAAAATTTAAAACAAATTCACCTAATGTTTGATTCTGTCCCCAGAAGATAACAGCTCCCAATTCACTGCTGGCATGATTTTTGGGAAAATATGTGAGAAGTACATCCATTTGTGAATCTCCATCATAATCTCCTGGGACCACACTTGTTATCAATGAACTGTGATTCCTAAAAGAAAAGCATTTCAAGACATCCAGCTGCATTGTAATAGAAAAGGACCTTTATATATTTGTATTGTACAAAAAGATTTTCAGTACAAAATTCAAAGTTTCATAGAAATAATTAATATCATTCTTTCTTTTAATATCCTATCATCCTTTATGTGTATAGATTCTCTTTGATCTACAAAATATGTCAGAATGAATACAGAATAGTTTTAAGAAACAAGATAAATCTAAAATATAACAAGGGAAAAGTCAGTTTCATGTTTAAGTATATTTGGTTCTTTTGTCAAGCATGCGAAGATATTTGGATCATGATTATAACAAAGAGAAGTACATAATTGCTTGCCAAAGCAGCAAGGAGTACCACTGTCATTTTATCAGCTAAAAGATTTTATTTGTAAAATAGTTAAATTTGGATTTTAATGCTGATGCAAATTTACAATGAAACCAAGCAATCATTTTATTTCTGAAAGCTATGCAAGATATGAAAAATACCTGGTCTTTAAAAAACAATAAAGTAATTGTACATCTATTATGTAGTAAATTGTATCTAATATGTATACATGAATATATGTATGCACAAATATATATACAGTAATATACAAGTACATACACACACACATATACAGTAATAAATACTACACATATTTGTCCAAATACAGTCACAATTTCCTACCCCCTTGCTTCTTTAGCAGCAACACCAAAGGGCTGGTTTGAGGTGGGGTTTGTTTTATTGCTTGGTTCTGTTTTTGTTTGTGGTGGGTCATTGCGGTCTTAGATTATGTTTCTATTTCTACCAGTCGTGTATATAGCTTTCATTTGGTGATGGATGATGAAGTTTAAAGAGCCAAAAAACAGAAACAGAAAACAAACAAACAAAACCAACCACAACAACTACATTCATGATCTGGGGGCAAAAACTACTCTGAAATAGATAGAAATATATTACAAAGGGTTAGATGGTTTTAGTCCTACAATCACCCAGATTATTGTTGTAAAAATGACACATGCATTTATATTCTCTTTCACAGAAACCAATAAAATGATAACAGAATGGATTTGTTCTTAAAAAAGTGTTTAAGTCTCAAACACCAAGAGATCATGAAAGGAGATAGCAAGGGAGGATACTAACTGACTTAGCAGGACAAGGGAACAATAAAGATAAAGTGCCTGAAGAAAAATGCACTAGAAGGAAAGTTTGTTGCACTGAAGAGCCTCTGAGAAGCTTTGAATTTGGAGTAATCAGGAGTGAGAGAGAAGAGTGAGCTACAAGGTTGAAAACAGGTTTAATTGAAAGTCTGTTCTATGGTATGGTTCCTTCTCTTGCTCAGCAAGGCAAAAACCAAGCAGCTAATTTCTGGTAATTTTCAGGCATGAGAAACTTAAGTCATAGAGGAAAGGAAGATTTTGCTCTTATACTAAAAATAGGAACTAATGGAACGTCTACCCAAAGGAGTAATCAAACCCTTGCCCCAACTTTATCCTATTCCTCGGAAGCAGGCATCCAAGACCAGACCTAGAGTGAAAGAGTTAGGAAACAAGTTCCACCTTGCAGTCTCCAATTAGCTCCTTACTGTTTTACTTTTAAATGCCCATAGATAACTGCCCTTTTAAAGAAAGCTAGAGAGTATTATAGAGATCCAAAATCAATAGTAATAATAAATCTTAAAAAAACAGAAATAATAGCGGGAACAAAAGAAAACTTCAAAACTATATTTGAAGACACAAGAGACTTGTATGTCCATTAAAAAACAAACAGGGCCTGGTGGCGCAGTGGTTGAGCACTGGGCTGCGAAGCTGCCTGTAGCATTTGCAGCGCCGGTTCAATCCCCAGCCACCTGCGAGGGTCCCACATGGTGCCCAGACCTCTCCTGCCACCTGCTGCTCCCCTCAGCAGTGTATTTCGTCGGTCTGCCTGTTCTGTTCCCCGCTCTGGTGAATTCTCTCACCCTCCTGCGCTTCTGACTATACCCAGTGCTTGCATTAATAAATAAATAAATCTTCAAAAAAAAAATAAAAAACAAACCAACAAAATTAAAAACTAGCCTATGAATAAAAAAGAATAAGAGAACAAATCTTCTTTGAAATAAAAAAAGTATGATAACATAAAAAGTATTCATAGAAGGACATGCCCTGGCAGTCCAATAAACAATTGATAGGAATTCTTAAAAGGACAAGGAAAAAAATTACCAAAGAAATATTATAAGAACATTTCAAAATATCTTCAAGGACAGAAACTGCCAGTTTGAAGGGACCCATCTAATGTACAGCATAATAATTGAAAAAAAAATCTACACCAAGATACAGTATCATGAAATCTCAGAGCAAAAGAAATAAAGTAGATACCCTAATACCTTCCAATGTCAAAAATAAGATGTCTTATTTGAAAGATAAGAAGAAAGAATAGTATTAGATTTTAAAATAGCAACCTGTGAAGCAAGAAGACTAGGTGAACCAAATATTAACCATGAGTAGAAAAAGACTGTGGAAGGGCATACCACACATCCTTTCTCAGGAATCTCCCAAGGACACACTCTAGTGAAGTAAATGAAGAAAAGAACAAAATGGCAACTGGGTCCAAGAAATAAAGATCAAACAAAGAATAGCAGAGGGAAAGTCCACAAATAGTAACTCTACAGCAGACCTAGAGAATGAATCCAGATTGAGTGCAGAGGATTCTATGGGGGAAACAGAAATGCACACTAGGTGTGTAGCAGAAATGAATGGATTCTCTGAAAATAAATAAGGGTGTGTACACAAAAACTATGCAATTTACTTTTTAAAAAGCAATAATTTGGGCCTCCCCAGTGGCACAGTGGTTGAGTGCTGGGTTGTGAAGCTGCGCGCAGCCTCTGCAGTGCTGGTTCGATCCCCAGCCACCGGGCGAGGGTCCCACATGGCGCGCAGACCTCTCCTGCTGCGCCCGCTGCTTCCCTCAGCAGTGTACTTCGTCAGTCTGCCTGCTCTGCTCTCCCCTCTGGCTCTGGTGAATTCTCTCACCCTCCCGCACTTCTGACTGTACCCTGTGCTTGTATAAATAAATAAATCTTTAAAAAAAAAAAAGTTAAAAATAAAATAAAAATAAAAAGCAATAACTTACCCAGGAAGGAAAAACTCTACACAAACAAAATACTGTATGCTTGGCTGTGAAGTGCATAGAATCTATAGGCAAAATAGAAACAACTGACTGATTTAGCTAAATATATAACTATATTGAGTTTATGGACATAAGTTAAGGATGCTAAATCCCTATCTAAGCTAATAAAAAATCCCAGAGATGAAGATAACTCCAGAAATTGCAGGATAAAAAGTTATTTTAAAATATGTAAATAAAACCCAGAAGAAACAGCTAACAGTTTTCAAAGTGGCCATATATGAGAGAGGGAGAAGGGAGTGGAAAAGAAAAACTTGCTTTTTACTTTGAAGAACATACTACATAAAACAAAAACAACAGTTTCTAAATGTTAAACATATATAAAACAATGTATTAATCAAAGGAAAAGAAATGGGATTTTTTTTTTAACTTTGTGAATCCTAAGTCTTTTACATCCCATAAATTTCCTTAATGTTTAATCTTCCTAGAAAAACACTTGTAGGCAGTTCATTTCATATACATATATATATATATTTATCGGCTTCATTCCCTCCTTATATGTGCTGACATCCAGTACCCAATAACACTTCCCAAGAAGGTTAAGTTCCTGTTTATCCATTTTTAACTTTGTTCTCAATGTTCTAACACAAAGCCAAAATTTTAAACATATGTCTGAGTTTAAATTAAATATTGAGCACTTATTCGCCCACATGAGGACTTAAAATTTTTTTTAAGCAGTTTCTTAAGTAGTCTCTGATCTTTCCATATACCAATTCATCTTGCACAGGATTAACAAGTAAATCAACATAAAATAAAACATTCATCATCTCTCCTTTAAATTAGAACCTGTAATGATTCCCCATTTTTTTCAGGGGGTTGAGTTCAAGCTCTTCCTGAGACTGATGAAAATTTCTGGCCTGCCATGATCTCACCTTCCTTGTCTGTAACTCTCCAAAGCGCATGCTTTGCTCAGCCAGGCAAATCTTCCTGCCTCCTCTTCACAACATGCTGTTTTTTATACCATATCTTGCTAGTGCTGTGTCCCCAAACTGGAAATACTTCACTTAAATTTTATTTAAGATAAACTCCAGTCCCATGACTTTCTAGAAGTTGCCACTGTGAACCAGAGAGCAAGCGATCCTTGCTTCTTATAGCTTCAAAACTGTGGGCTTACTACTGATGGGGTCACTGTATCTCATGCAATACCAGTCATAAAAAAGAAAAATATGAACTGGTACTTCAACACTTAAAAACATCAGCTAGATTGGAATTACTTAAAAATTCACTACCACCAGTCAACAAACAAAAATTAGAACAGAGGTCACTGATCTTTTCCCTCCTGTAAGCCACTCTCTTCCACCTCCCACAAAACACAGTTGACTTGATGAGACTGTGAGTGAGCTGCTCCCACAGGCATACCGGGATGAATGATCATCCCAATGCATTAGGAAAGCATATTAGATTGCAAAGGAGTGAGGGGTGTTTATGCAGAAATAGACCAGAACCAACTCAGATTTATATCATTGTTTTTTAAGTAAATCATTTCACTACTTTTCTTAACTAATTACTTGCTACTTCATGGCTGATGGGTTTGTGGCACAACACAAGTAAAACTGATTTCAAAAATAATCCCACTTCATATCACATATCCGTTGTTACAATAATAACTAATATTTTACAGAAATAAATATATTTGTACTTACTTCAAAGACACCTTTACTTTGGGTTTAAAATAGGGCACGTTCTGGTCTGCCAAAAAGACGATTAAGTCATTTCCTAAAAAAGGTGAATATATGGTATTAGAAAAATGTTTCCTATAAGACATCTAAACAGTGGTTACAAGATGCTTTCTAAGCTCTGTTTTCAAGAAGATAACTTTTTATTCTAGTTCATTCACCCTCTCAAGGCTAATGCTCATAATGGAATGGGATTCCTAACAGTATTATGACAAATTCAATGTTCAAAGAAGCAGAAAAATAGAAAGGATGTACATGGGAAAATGTAGCTGGTCAAGATAAATTGAAGCCAATAGCTTCTGTCATGTGTCAAATGAGCTGAGTTGGAAGAATCACAGAAAGAATCTAACTTACATGTCAAGCCTTATCTTTGCCAAATCTAAAAATGCAGTCTCATTATAAGGCTATTTCATCACATAGATGCATCATAGCAAGGATACAGGGACTTCTACGGGAGGTACCTGACTAATCGCAAGGACATGGTCATGAATTTAAGCAGAAAAAAGCCGAATCCTCCAAGATCCTCTCTTGTGGTTCCCATGGAATAATCACCCATGTCAATACATTCTTGGAGCTCAGTGAGTGCTCATAGGGAGCCTTTGGAATTATCTACCAAACACAAAATAAAGTTAGAGGGAGAGAGTCCGTATCTAGTTTGGATGAGTAGCTACAGGCATGGCGGTAGGTGCCCTTTTTGGAATTCATACAAAGATAGGAAAAGCCATACAAAGATAGGAAAAATATCCATGGTCCAAGACTCTGGGATCCTGGCAAGGGTCCCAGGAAATCTGGGCCAGGATCCTGTCAGTCCATCAGGTTTTCTATAGGGCTTAATTTCCTTCCTTCACGTCTTGACTTTAAACAGTATCTGACTACTGGGTAGTACGTGGGTACTGGAGAACACTAAGTTTCTCTATTGCCCACTGTCAGCATCAAGATTTACTAAAGTTTATTTAATCATGTCCGAGTGAAGAACACTTAGACAACCATAAGTTGTCAAAGCAAGCTAAGATTTAGAAGACCATGGCGTGACAAAAGTGAGGAAGGGTCAGGTAGACACAGAGTAACTACTCTGCTCAGGAAAGAGAAGAATCTGCAGTTTAAGAATTGTTTCCTAAGGAGACATTGGTTTTATCAGTGGTTCCTGCAAAATGCTGTTTAGGGAGTGTTTAGGGCCTTGGGAGGGCACAGCAGCTTCAAAGAAACCTGGGCCCTAAACAAAGGGAGGTGGGAAGGGGCAGAATTAGGTAAATGAGAATGCAGGGAGATGAAACTGTCAAAAAACATCTTTTCCAGTTCATCAAAGGGGTTGGAAGACTGGAAGAAGTAAAGCTGAATGGAAGAGAGGGCTTTGGGAGAGAATGTAGAGGCCAGCTACAAAGACTCCTGGGAATCAGGAAGGACCATGGAAGGCAGGTTATTCCATGGGGAGGTGGGGGATGCGTAGGTGAAGACCGCAGGCGTCTCAAGGAAAAAAGAAAAAGAAAAAAAGTAAAAACACTGGGTGTTTCCAGGGCTTGGGGGACTAGGGGACTGATCAAACTGTGGGGTGGCCAGGCCAGGACCTGGGATTGGACAAGATGGAGAAAAGCAGCAAGCTGTCAAGGATGCTGGAGATAAAGGGGCACAGACGGGGCCGGGAGAGAAGGACCGGGAAAGGCAGGAGCACCGGCCATCCCGGCCAGGGTGTGGGGAGCACCGCGAGGGGCACAGGGACAGCGGGCAGAGGGGGGGGCCGGGCCAGCACTGACTTTCCCGCAGCACGAAGAGGTCCGTCTGCTTGTCGGAGTTGAGGTCCCCGAAGGCCGCCAGGGTGCCCCAGGCCTCGGCCCCAAAGAGCTCGGCCGTGACGTTGTGCAGCGCCCGCGCCGGGACCGGCCCGACTCCCAGCAGCGCGAGCCCCCCCAGCAGCGGCGCCAGCAGCACCCAGGAGCTCGGCAGCCGGCCCGCCGCCGCCATGGCCGCGCCTCGGCCCCCGCCCGCCGGCCGAGTGCCGCGCTTGACGGCAGCCGCAAAGCACCGTCCCGCCGGCCGCGGGAGAGCGCGCTCAGCCGGGACGCAGGCACCCGCCGCCGCCGGGGCCCTCCGCCGCTCCCCGAGGCCGCCCCCTGGCGCCTGGGAGGCCGCGGAGCTTGCAGCAGCCGCCCGGCGCGCACTTCCGGCCGGCGCCGCCCGACAGTGTCGCGCGGGGGGCGGGGCCGGCGGCGGCGCTGACAGGCCGGCCCGGGGCGGCGGCCCAGGCGGCGGCCGGAGCGCCATGGCGGGGGCGGCGGGGCTCGTGGCGGAAGAGAGCTGGAAGGTCCTGGAGCGGAGAGCCCGGGCCAAGCGCTCAGGTTTGGCAGGCCGGGGCGCCTCCTTCGCAAAACCCTGCACCCTGGCGGGGGTGCGCCCCCTCCTGAGCCGGGGGCGGGAGGCAACTCGGGGGTCCTCCTGCTGTCCCGGTAGAACCCAGGCGGCGGCCCAGGCCTTCCGCCTGCCTGATGTCTGTCTCCCCTGAACTTGTAGAACGTAGGGGGTGCCCCCAACTTCACTCCGTGTGTGGACCCCAACGCTGTGTCGTGTGTATTCACCCCCAGAAAGCAGGTGGCCGTGCCAGCTTCACCTGGAGTCTTCCTTTTCCGAAATCAGGCGGCGACAGTGCTGGGAAAGAAAGGGTGACCGCTCAGGGGAGCTCCTTTTACTGTCAGACAAAGTCCTTCTTATATATGACCACGATCTGGACATAGAAAACTGGCTGCTGCTCGTTGCCTTGTTTCGTATGTCGCTTTTTTCCTCCCACGATCTGAGCCCTAGCCAGTTATCTATGTGGCAGAGATCCAAGGGGAAGAGGCCTCAAAGGGGGTCACACTGAGCATAGGTAGGTCTCAGAAGGGAGCAGGCCCCTTCCCTGACCCCAGAATTTATAGCCCGGGATTGTCTAATCCTCAACTTGCTTTTGTGGCTCCCAAACCTGAGGCCACAGACGTCAGTAGAGGCTGTGCAGGCACCAGTGACAGTTCAAGTGTCCTGAACTGACTTGTTCAGATTGCAAAGTCATGATTCTGGAGTTAGTACTTGTGGCTGATAATTCCTCTGAAAACCAGGATTGAAAACTTACTGTCACTTCTGGCTGGCTGAATATAATCTTGAACAAAAAGTGTACCTTATAGACAGGAAAGATGGAAGACTGTCAAGTCTTCAACTAAGAATTTCCCCTTAAAAAACTTTATTGGGAGATGCTAATGTCAGTCTTACTAATCTAAGAACATTGAAAGGCATCACCCTAGGAAAATTAACTTTTTACTTGCATTGATAGGAAAAGATTTTTTTTTCTTGGCTAATATGCTCCCTTTATGTTTCAAACTTCCACTAATGACAGTCCTGCCTATTGTGCACTCTGGCTTTTTTTTTTTAATTATTTGAAGAAATTAATGAATTTTATAAATCATACAAGGAAAATTCACCCAATCTTTGTTGCTAACTTTAGTGTTTTTAAACTTGAAAACTTTTGCATATACTTATATGAGACTATAGCAAAACTACCACAAAAATGTGAAAGAAGTTTTCAAAAAGTAGTTCTTAGTATACTTTAGAGTCTATATATTTACTTGAAGTACCATATATTTTGCTCCACACAGTTTCTTAAAATTACCATATTGAAGTATTTGAGTTGCCTGCTAACAACATGGGTAGGCTATAAATAGTGTTGTTGACTTGATGCTATCCCGTCAAAGAGAGTAACTTGAGTTTTCTTACAGGGGACTGCCCTCAACAAATGTTTTTACAACATTTCTCTTTTTCCTTTAATGAGCATATAGGGTTTATTTTCTTCTTCAGTCCTTATTTTCTCTCAAATGCATGTTGTAACAGTAAGCTTTGAAAACCTTACTTCTCTTTCTCAAAATAGAATTTGAAAATGTTTGAATTTTTTCAAATTCTATTTAACTGTTGTTGAATGCAGTCACTGAAATCCAGTTTCAATGTGCAAAGTAAAGTGCACCATATCCATGTTGGATATTCCTAGTAGTAAAAGTAATACCAGTTGAAGTCATTTCTCCAAATTAGTGGTTATGTTGGAGGTTTCAGAATCTGGTAACTCAGAAGTGTCGACTATAAAGCTTATTAAGTCAATCACTGGCTTTCTGTATCATTAGACTCAATCAACTTGATTCTGTTTGTTATTTTAGAAAAATATATAAACTGAGCTTTGTCTGAAACTTGGACTAACCTGACTATTATAGATGCCACTGCAAAGTTCTGAGCATTGTACATAGTAGCATAATCACTTCACTGCTCCACAGCCATGCTACTCTTATATAATGTTTGATAAGTGGATATTATATCTTTCCTGCCACATCCTTGTAAGCAAATGTAATTTATCAAAGCAAAGAAAATCAAATTTTCAAGTCATAAAAGAGAAAATAAAATTATAATGAACCACAATTATTGCCTTTGTTGCACACTGCATCATGTTAATAACTACTCACACTGCTTTCAATTAATCTAATGCTGATTGCTTCTAACCTTCACTAAACAGTTTTGAAAATTGCTGTAGTTTAGCCTGCAACGCTTATGATTAGAGTCAACAATTTGAAATGGCCCACTCACCTGATGCAGTCGTCTCTTCTCATCCAGCTCTCTTAAGGTCTGGTAAGTGTGTAGACCCCAAAAGGGTCACTTGGTAATTTTAAATACCTTTGTTTCTGAAGACTGAAGTCACCATATATTTTGGTTTGATTTCCTCTTTGGTGACCCAAGTCTGAGCACCATTTCTGTTACTGTAGGCTCAAGTTTGGACTGTGTGTTGAATGTAGCCAATTGTTTTGTTTTGTTGGACATGAGAAGGGCAAATAGAGCCACTGAATTGACACCTGAAAGCTATTTGACTAGGGACTGTTCCTCAGTCTCTGATAATCGAGTCAAATGGGACATAAAAAAGCTTCTTAAATGATTTTTGTCTTGCATAATGGAAGTAACTTCTATAAATAAGAAATTTTGGGTTATTGTCCCATCATTTACTTACTGTTCATCAACCCCCTGTGAAGTAGGTACTTTCATGTATGTTTCATAGAAAGGAAAGGGATGCTCCTTAGAGGTGAAGCCCTGGGCTTTGCTCTCCATTCCATGGCTTCTTGGTATAAGGGCTGGAGGAAATATTGATGCAATGGGTCTTATACTTTTGTTTTGGTGAGACCCTCCACAAGCTGAATGAAAGTTGTGGAATTGCTCCCCAGTGAGAGCCCAGGATTTTGGAAACAATTTCAAGTTAGTACATGGATATAGGGAAAACAGTATATGGATTCCCATTAGGAATTCTGGCTTTTAGGAGAAAGGGATTTTGTTAAGTGGCCACAGAACTGCTACGAAGTCTTTAGGGCTTTTTTTGTGGTTAGTGATGCTTCTTGGGCCATCAAAAACGTGTTCTGTGTGAGAACACTTTGGCAGAGGCCTGTTGCTTTTTCTGTAATATGCCTTAAGCAGAATATGTATGCTATAGGACATCATTAACAGGGAAATGTGAGATAACCCCCTCTCAAACGGTGTTAGTGGTGACATTTCCTCTTTTGGTTCACCATAACCATTCAGACGTGGCCCCTTCTTTTACTTCCATCATATTTTAGGTTAAACTTTGGTCAGATGGAGGAGGAAAATCTTCAAAGAAATAGAAAATAGCCTAGGGAAGAAGCACAATCAATAGAAAACAAAGTTTGTACCTAAAGCAACAAAAATGATAATACCTTTTAGCTGTCCTTTGTTAAATGACAAAATTGTGTATTATATGTAGCCACTTTAATTTTTGAACTGAGAGAACAAGAGGATATAGATCTTTGGACTGTGTTTTCTTTTTTTAGGCACCAGGCTGTTTTCCATTGTAGCTTTCCTGATAAGGACTTGGTATCTTATTCAGTACTAGTAAACTTGTTCTGCTTTTTTGGCAATAGAATGCTAAAGATATGCTTCTGTGTATAATAATCCTGAAAATTTCAAAACTTAATAATTCTAACATTACTGAAATGTTTGAAGGCATATACAAGATGCCTTTCCAGTACCATATTATTAATTGACATAGAAAGCACTGAGAAAATATAAAAATAGCCAACTTCATTGTTATAGCCATTATGAATTAGTTTGCATATTTCCACTTTTTGGGGTTCCTCTATTGAAAACTTACTGATGACTATAATGAAGCACTTAAAACTATCTGTTAAAATGAGGAACACTCAGTGGTTTGTATTTATTCATTATTAATTTGAAAATGCTACATTTACATTAGAATAATTTTTTTTTCACTGTTGTGGTCCCTTGAACATTATCATCCTAGGAGCATGTTTTATGGTATAATTTCTTTTAACAATAATTTAAAGTATGTTCGGGTTCATAGCTGAACTTTTCCCTGCTACTTTGGGCTGGAAACTATCCAATACCATAAAAAATGAAAACCAGTATTTTAATTTTGGAGAATTGGTTTCCAACATACCTAGACTGTTTTATGCATTTTAACCTTCTTTATTCCTCCTGGATTTGTCTCTACTCTTTGTTGGATTTAGTGTGTCCTGCATTTCTATGTATGCATGCTTGATTTATGCTCTGATGAGTACTGTGTCAGTCTGTGCTGTGGTTGAATGTAATTTCTTTTGTTTTCAGTGCTTAAATTCAGAGAGAGATCTAAATATCTCTCCGTCTAGATTTTTCTTTAAAGAATGTTGAAGTAAAATATGAAAGACACTGAATTTATGGGCAAATTCAGCAACTAAAATTAATCAACTAATTATTGGGGAAAGAGTGTAACATTTAGTACCTCAGATTCCTTTCATTTCTCATGACACTATAGTTACACAAACAATATATTAGGTTAGCCATGTTTCTCAACTACAGCAGTCATATTGGTATTATAGTTCAATTATTTATGGTAATTGCTATACCATTTTGCCATGAGTAAGAAATGTTTGGCATTTTCACTTTTTATCAACATGTTTATC